AGCCTTCGTGGGGATGTCATTTCAAACCATAACAGAAATCAGAATTGTCGATGTTCCTTTAGTTAACTAATTTGTGTCCATGGTGCTGAGAACTAAACCCACAACCTTATACGTGCATAAAACTACCCCCCAGCCTCAGTGTTCTTTTTAAATTATGTTTACATATGCAGGTATGCACTCTTGAGTACAGGTGCTTACAGAGGCCAAAAGAGGACAGTTCAGGTCAGGATCCCCTGAGGTAGAGTTGTAGGTGGAATGATAGCTGTTCTGGGCTGCCTAAAGTAGGTGCTGGGAGCTGAACTCATGTCCTCTGGAAGAGCAGCACTCTCTGTTGTTGGTGGTGGTGGTGTTTTGAAACAGATAGGGTCTCACTATGTAACACTGCCTATCACTGGGAAGCATCCAAGGCCAGACCCTGAAGGATAAAGCTGTTTCCAGATCACAGTATCCAAGAGAGCACTCCTAAAATAACATGAAACGCACATCCTGAATCCAGTGAAAACTGCAGACTGCAAACCAGTGAACACAAACCATGGTGAAAACAAAGTATGTCAGCTGACACTAACCAGGAAGTAACGTCAAAAGAGCAGATAGAATAGCCAAAACATGGTGGCAGTTCCATATATTTGAAAAAGTGGAGAAAATTTTGAGCAGGTTCAACAGAAGGGACCTCTAAAAAGCAAATCAGTGGAGGGAGGGGCAGGGGACAGCAGCGCCCGTGCACACCACTAGTTCCAGCTCTCGGGAGACAGAGATAGGAGGATCTCTGAGTTTGAAGCCATCTGGTCTACAGAGGAGGTTTCCAGGGCTACAAAGAAACCCTGTCTCGAAAAATCCAAAAGGAAGAAAAGTGGAGTCAGTGACTCTGCACTGCAGATCTGCTGATCTGAGAAAAGCTATAGGAGCTTTCAGAACGAGACAAGGGAAGGAGAAAGAGAGCAAAGGAGGAGAACCCCTCTCCGAAGTAGCCCCAGGGTCACACCCCAGCAGTAGCTCCACAGAAAACCAGCTATGGCTGCTCACAACTGGAACACCACCCTGGGTGGAGGTCAGAGACTCACAAGTTCAGTTCATTCTTGGCTACATACTGAGTTCCAGGTCTGCATGGGCTACATGAGACTTTGATTTAAAAAAAAAGGCAAAATTACATGTATTATGAGTTTTTAACATATGTAGAAGAGTACCATGACAAAAGAGCCAGGATTGTAGAGTGGACACTCATAAGGTTCCCATACATCAAGAGCAATGTAACATCTGTCACAGCTGTATTATGATAAAGCATATCCCTAAAATGCTGAAGCAACCACCAGAGACACGCAAAGTTGTGAGTAACTAAACACCTAGAGTCCCAGCACTCTGGAGGATCAGAAGTTCAGTGACATGTATGCTTCGTAGCAAGCTTGAGGCCACCCTAGAAACGTGTCTTTAAAAAGAGCCACCAAATAGAATGTTGAGAATTAGCCAGACAGAACAACTAGTAAATATCTTTAATTTGCTTGTCTGGTCCTTAGAGAACATCCTGGATAAAGCCACACCTAGTGGTACATGCCTGTGCTGTATCCCAGCATTTATAAGAGGTGAGACCGAAAGGTTATCCTTAACTACAAAACAAGTCCAAGACCAGTCTAAAACTAAGAAGCAAGAAAATATTCCACATACATAAGTAAATAGAGTTACGACCCTTAATTAAGAGCTGGGCAGTGGTGGCGCACGCCTTTAATCCCAGCACTTGGGAGGCAGAGGCAGGTGGATTTCTGAGTTTGAGGCCAGCCTGGTCTACAGAGTGAGTTCCAGGACAGCCAGGATTACACAGAGAAACCCTGTCTCGAAAAAAATTTTAAAATTAATTAATTAATTAAAAACTAAAGCCTACAGGGACTTTCCTGGCTCCAGTAACTGGAGTACAGAGGTGGGAAACTGGCTGGGCGCCTGCTGACCTCTCAGGTGGTCGAAGCGAGCAAGTCTGTTATGGACAGGAGAGAACAGTGCTTAAGAGCACTTCCCTACTCTTGCAGAGCAGCCAGGGTCAGCTCCCAGCACCCACACGGTGACATGAGCACCTGTAACCCAAGCCCCAAGGGGCCAACACCTTCTTCTGGCCTCCTGAGGCCCCTGCACACATGTCTGCTCGATTGCCCTTGCATACACACACATACGCATAACTAAAATAAGTCATTGTCAAACATTTTAAATCTTCCACATTGTTCTCAAAGGGATGCATGAAGACACCTAGGTGTCTTCTTTTTGGTACTTGGGGCTGATTGTTACCCAGTAACCATCTGGTGGCATACCCTACCAGCCTATAAGGCCATCTTCCCACCAGGGCTGGGCTCCTGCTGAGAAAACTTTATGAATATCTTTTTCATGTAATGGTTATTCTGATGTCTGTAACTGTACTTAAATACCAAGGTATAGACATGACATGTGTGGTGCATAGAAGCTAAAGCCTGCCGGGCAGTGGTGGCGCACGCCTTTAATCCCAGCACTTGGGAGGCAGAGGCAGGCAGATTTCTGAGTTCAAGGCCAGCCTGGTCTACAGTGTGAGTTCCAGGACAGCCAAGACTACACAGAGAAACCCTGTCTCGGGAAGAAAAAAAAATTAGAAGAAAAAGGAGCTAAAACCTTCCAAACTGATTTTTTTTTTTTAATCGAACCAGAGCCAAGTCATTGAAAACACTTATTCCTAACCACTGGACCACTGGACCAAACTGAGTTTATAAACTGTATTAAATGGTCACTTCTATAAGCAGTGTATTAATTGAGTATGGGAAACATATTTAAAGAAGTACAGAAAAACAAACTGGGTTCATTTCTACTTCTCTGTGAACTTGACAGATAAAAATATTCTGTAGGCCTCCAGAAAGGTACTAAATCAAGGAAATACTTGTTAAGACAGTGAGCTTTTGTTCTTTGTCTCACAGATCGACACGTTAAAAAAAGATGGGAAAGCTTGTGTTGAAAGCCAACCTATAGAGTCACTCAGCAAGGCTTTATCCAAACATTTGTGATACTTGTTGAAAGTTAACATGGGGGTGTCCTCTGACTCTGCAGTTCTAGCTCTGAATATCTAATTCGGGAAACAATTACACCTTTAAGACTATGTCCTCAGCCAGGAATGGTAGTGTATGCTCTAAATCTCAACACTCAGGAGCGGAGACCAGCCTGGTCTACAGAGCAAGTTCCAGGTCAGCCAGGACAACACAGAGGAACCCTGTCTCAAAAAAACAAACGAATAAATAAAGCTATGCACTCATTTGCTGAGACATTGTGTGACACAGCTAAAAATGTCAGTAAGACAAATGTATATCAAAATAAAAATTGATGTTTTAAGGCTGCCAAGATAGCTCAGCTCAGTGGATAAAGGTGTTTGCTGCCCAGACCGGTGAGCTGAGTTCACAAGGACCCCAGGACCCACAAGCTTGAAGGAGACCCTGACTGCCACATCATGCCTTGCCAAGCAAGTATCCATATATGTGCTCACAAATAAATAGAAGGTTGGGTTTCTTTTAAGTTTTAGGAAAAATGAAGAAAAGGGATTTTTTTCCTAAAAACTCATAGTTAATTGTAATTTTTACTGTGAAAACTACTGAAAATGGTTTTAGGTAGTATTTTCCCTGAAAAATGTTAGTGGTTTGTTTGCTTCTGTGCGTGCGTGCATGCGTGCGTGCGTGTGTGCTGCACACCCATGAGTACAGAGAGCAGATGACTTCAGTGTCCTGCTCTATCACTGTTGGCTTTCTTCCCTTGTGTCAGGTCTCACTGGATCTAGTGGCTGGCCTCCAGCAAGCTCCAGCCTTCCTCTCAGCACTGGCAGCACCGGGTCACAGATGTACCTGCAGCCATGCCAGGCTGTTTACCCCAGTGCTGGGACTGAACTCAGGTCCTCATGCATGTGCAAGTGACCTGCCCACTGAGCTGCCTCTCAGCCTGTTTGTGTTTTAGACAGTATCATGATAAAAACAACTCTATGGGCTTATGGGAAGTAGCACTATGGGGAGGTGTGTGGCCTTGGAGCGGGTGTGGCATTGTCAGTGGAAGTAGGGGAAGGGGTGGGCTTTGAGGTCTCAGAAGCTCAAGCCAGGTTTAGTGTGTCTCAGTCTGTTCCGCTGCCTCTGGATCAAGATGTACAACTCTTAGCTCCTTCTCCAACACCATGTCTGATTATATGCTGCCGTGCTCCCCGCCATGATGATAATGGACTGAACCGTGTATGTGTATGTGTATGTGTATGTGTATGTGTATGTGTATATATGTTGCTGTGGTCACCGGGCAATGTGATAACACATTGCCTTTAATCCTTGCACTTGGGAGGCAGAAGTAGACTCTGATTTCAAGGCCTGCAAAGTAAATTACAGGACAACCAGTGGTACATGGAGAAACCCTGCCTCAAAAAAACAAACAAAAAACAACAACAAAAAGTTGCTTTGGTCATGGTGTCTCTGCACAGCATTAGAACCCTAAGAAAGAAATTGGTGGCCGGGCGGTGGTGGCGCACGCCTTTAATCCCAGCACTTGGGAGGCAGAGGCAGGCGGATTTCTGAGTTCGAGGCCAGCCTGGACTACCCTGTGAGTTCCAGGACAGCCAGAGCTACACAGAGAAACCCTGTCTCGAAAAACCAAAAAAAAAAAAAAAAAAAAAAGAAATTGGTGTGGGGGAGGTGGGGGCTGGGGTATTGCTGTGATAGGCCTGACCCTCCTTCTCCATGGAGGAATGTGGACTTTGGAGCTTTGGATTAGAAAAGCAGTGGAATGCTTTCAGTGGGGCTTAATGGACCATCCTAGTAGGAGCATGGGGACAGTGGTGCGAGGGTGATTTGGGCTGTGAGGGCCTGGCTCAAGAGTTTTCAGAGGAGAAGATTTGATGTGATCTAGAGACTGTTTTCCTGATACTTTGGTGAAGAAGGTTGCTGCTTTCTGCCCTCGTCCAGTTTGAATGTCTTTCCATTAAAAAAAAACAAAAAAAAACAAAAAAACAAAAACCTGTTACTATTTTCTTGCAGAATGGAGACAGACTACAATCCCGTGGAGCTGAGCAGCATGTCTGGGTTTGAAGAAGGCTCCGAGCTCAATGGGTTTGAAGGAGCGGATATGAAGGACATGCAGCTGGAGGCTGAGGCCGTTGTAAACGACGTTCTCTTTGCAGTCAACAACATGTTTGTCTCTAAAAGCCTGTCCTGTGCCGACGACGTGGCTTACATCAATGTGGAGACGAAGGAAAGGAACAGATACTGCCTGGAGCTCACAGAAGCAGGGCTCAGGGTAACTCACTTTTGTTTTTAGAAGAAAAAAAAAGCATATCTTTATCATTTTATCAGAAAGGATAAAGAGGAACATTACATAGAAACCAGACATAGGTATCTTCAAAAAAATTAAGAAATATTTTCCTCAAAATTTTGGTTAGTAAATTTTTGATCAACACAGAACAGTTGAATTTGAGGGAGTAAATACATTTTGAAAGTATTGATTCAAGTTTTCTTTCATCATTAACCACACAAACGAGTTCCTTCCCTTTCTGTAGCTAACTGTGTCTCCCAGAATGGGCTCTGTGCAGGGGATACCCTTCAAGTTACTGTGCTGAAGGAACTCAGCTCACCTTCCCCCTCCCATCCAAACCAGATGCTTGGGCTGGGCCTCGTACTAGATGGCATGTTGTACAGGCAAGAACCCCCCACATAAAAGAGGAAAGAGAAAACTTCACAGACTTAGTTAGCATCTGACTTCCATAGATATGCCGTGTTTGTGTGTGTGTGTGTGTGTGTGTGTGTGTGTGTACACAATATTTTTAGAGGCTGGGTATGGTGATCCAGTCCATTAATCCCCACACTTAGGAAGCAGAGGCAGGAGGATCTCTGAGATTGAGGCCCACCAGGACTGTATAGTGAGACCCTGTATTTTTATGTATTAAAAAGGAAGAAAGAAATGCTTAATGGTAGAGCCCTGGGTTCAGTTCTCAGCAGCAGGCTGGAATGGAGAGGCTTCATCACCAGAGTTTTATCACAAGAAGGCACCTTGGTATGGGAGATCCTCAGTATGTATGGAACTCATTAAGGGTGGGTACCAGAGAGCCAGCTCTGTGGTTAGGAACACAGGTTCCTCTTGTACCAGTTCAGTTCCCAGCACCCACAAGTCAGGCAGCTCACAGCGACTGTGACGGCAGCTCCAGGAAGTCCACTCCTCTCCTCTAGCCTCCACAGATATCTGCACTCAAGTGCACACAGGCACACCTAGACATAATTTAAAATAAAAACAAATGAGGAAAAAAATGTTTTCAGAGCCAGGCATGGCGATGCTCGCCTTTAATTCCTGGAAAGCAGAGGCAGGTGGATCTCCGAGTTCAAGGCCAGCCTAGTCTACGAAGTGGGTTTCAGAATAACTAGGTTACACAGAGAAACCCTGTCTTAAAAGCAGTAATAATAATAATTTTTATTATATCATTTTCAAGAGTTTAACACTTGAAATAAGAGCAAAAGGGAGCAAACCAAACCTCTTACAGAGCACAGTGCAGGTGGTTGTGGTCCTGTGTTCTAAGCTACTTGTATAGATTGCTAACAGCTGAAATGTGTATCATCTGCTGAGAGACGGTGTCACTGCACAAGCCCTTCAGACACCCGGCTCTTGCCTTCTGTGCCAGGATGGAAGCTGGCGACCGCTCACTGCTGCCCTTCTCTCGTAGGTGGTGGGCTATGCTTTTGACCAGGTGGAGGATCATTTGCAAACCCCCTACCATGAGACAGTCTACTCCTTGTTGGATACACTCAGCCCTGCCTACCGGGAAGCATTTGGCAATGCACTCCTTCAGAGACTGGAAGCTTTGAAACGAGATGGACAGTCATGACTCATTTCCCTCCTCGTGGGGTCACTGCTGGTATAGAGTCTGACACAAGACTTGACAGCCTTGCATAGAATCATTGTAGACAGTGCATCGTTGGCTTTATGTGTTTGTCATTCCTTCACAGTAGGCTTTTGACTCACAGCATAATTGACGCCTAAGTTGTCTTAGTTTCAGATTCATTCAAAGGGATTTTGAGACCATTTCTCAGACACTGTCATCCTGAGTTCTCCACACAGCCGCTCTGCACTCCGTACCTAACCAGCACTTCATTCTCCCATCACAGGGCCTCAGCGCTGCCAGCACTCTGTTTCACACAGAAAGTTTTACATTTGCACAGTGATATAGAAATCAGAATCTCCTAACTTGAGACCTGGATTCAGCCTGCTAAATCAGGGGTTTACTACTAGCTTGGACTGACTTTGTAGTGGTTATTTTGTTACTGGCCTTATTGGAAACAAACTGTCAACTAGTTTCCCCTGCACAAATTTTGAAATGTACTGCTCTACTTAACCTACTTCCACATTACCAAATGAACCTATTGCTTATCGGTTACTTAACTAGGATAAAATGAAAGGCAGGGAACAGAAATAGATCTCTATTCCTTGTTTGCAACAGCCTGCCAACCTAGAGCTGACAGACCATTAGCAAGTGAATGTAACAATTACTCATCTCCACGGTATCTAAGCACATGAGCAAATAGAGGAACAGGCCCCACCTCATCCTCGGTGTGTAGCGCTTCGAAGGAAGAAGATCCTGGTTTCCTAGGAAACGGTATTTCGGCCTGCATTGATTCTTATTCTGAATGTTTGTTTACACTGTACAGTATATATATATATGCACATATATATTCAGAAGGTATTTTTGCTTCAATGCTGACTTTGTATAAAGCAGTGCTTTGGTATTCCCGCGGCGCCCTTCGTCCCCAGCAGTTGGACAGAGCCCTGTCTCTTTGCCACACAAACAGTGTAACACGAGCGCATTGTATGGTTTGAAACCAAAGGATGAATGAAGCATTCAGAAACTTGATATTTAAAAAAAAAGATGCTCTGTATTTTATATTTTATTACAGTCCCTGGTGTTTATAAACTTAATAAAGTCCTCCATGCTGCTGCATGTTTTCCAGTATGTGACAAACAGAAAGGACCTGACGCTATTCTTCTAGTTGTCACCCAAACAACTGCTTCGGGAGTGATTAGCCACTGTCTGCATCTGGGCACACCTTTGTACACTGGTCAGCAGCAAGTGTTTGTCATTAGTTTCCAGTGGGCATTTTTAGCCTCTGAAGACCATGGGAGGGAAGGTGAAGGGTAGAGCCCTTGCCAGTCGTGGTGAGCACCCAGTTCAGTCCTGAGAATCAAAACAGTTTTAAAAACTCAAAATGCTCCTGTGAACCAGGCCTGGTCGAGTTCTGTCTGCATCACTGACACCATCAAGAGTTCACCGGGTGTTTGAGCCTGGCTTTGCAAGGCTCTCCTCAATGTCTGGGTGCCTGCAGGTGTGCACAGTGAAGGCCAGCCTCAGGTTGAACTTTCTTGTGCTTAATCTCAGGCTAATTTTTTTTAAAAAAAATTATGTTTGTAGAGCTTGAATAAAATTGTTTACTCAATTTCGAGTTGAGTATAAAGCAAGTCACGTTTAAAAATTGAAATGGTTTATTTTGTGATTAGTGACTGATTCCAATATCTGTACCAACATTTTTAAAATTCATCAGTGTTAATTTTGAGTTGAAGTGAGTGAGGGGAGTGGTTCTTTTTATTATTTAGGATAAAGGGCACCTTTAATCCCAGCACTTGGGAGGCAGAGGCAGGTGGATTTCTGAGTTCGAGGCCAGCCTGGTCTACAGAGTGAGTTCCAGGCCAGCCTGGGCTACACAGAGAAACCCTATCTCAAAAAACAAAAACAAAAAAAAAGAATAAAGGGGATCAGTAAATACACGCGCACACAGACACACACACCTGTGAGCACGGGCAGACCTCCATCCTAAGCTAAGCCAGTTTGTAAGATTAACCATATAAATTAAGCCTTGATTTTACTTCTAAAGAAAAAATTCTCTGACTCAAATCAATTTCAAAAGAAATTGTGCATGGCCACACATATAACCTGAGCACTTGGGATATGAAGACAGGAGAACCAAGATCATCATCCTTAGCTACAGAGGGGACAGGAGGTCAGCCCAGTGTAATCAAGACCCTAAAGTAGGATCGAAGCAACGGGCAGACGAGTTTAGACAACTCACAAGGGAGGAAAAGTGAAAGCTGTTCGGTGACCACTTAAAAGGGGCTCCAAAGTGGAGGAGGGGCACAGAAATAAAATGTGAGAGGTGTTTGACTCAGCTGGTAACCTGAGAAATTTTAAAACAGTCGGGCTATGCAGGCAAGATGGCTCAGTGAAAATACTACTTCCAGACCAGACAGCCTGGATGAGATCTCAGGACCCACATGGTGGGAGGAGAGAGAGCCTACTTTCACGAGTCTTTTAAAAAGAATTTTGTTCTGCCGGGCGGTGGTGGCGATCGCCTTTAATCCCAGCACTTGGGAGGCAGAGACAGGTGAATCTCCCAGTTTCAGGCCAGCCTGGTCTACAGAGTGAGTTCCAGGACAGCCAGAGCTATACAGAGAAACCCTGTCTCGAAAAACCAAAAAAAAAAAAAAAATAATTTTTTTTTTTTTTTTGGTTTTTCGAGACAGGGTTTCTCTGTATAGCTCTGGCTGTCCTGGAACTCACTCTGTAGACCAGGCTGGCCTGAAACTGGGAGATTCACCTGTCTCTGCCTCTGCTTCCCAAATGCTGGGATCAAAGGCGTGCGCCACCACCAGTCCAACTAAAAAGAATTGAGCAGTGCCACTTGAGCAGTTAGTTTTGTAGTTCTCTTAACATAGGCAGGATTTGATGAAGGGCACTTTGACTGGACAGTGTACTGTTGACTAGCTACACCCCCTACAAAGTTTCTGGAGCCAGGCAAGGTCCCACATGCCTACAATCCAAGTCCCTTGTGATCACAAATTCAAGGATAACTTGGGAAATTTTGGGAGGCCATCTCAAACTTTCTTTTTTTGTTTGTTTTTTTTGTTTTTGTTTTTCGAGACAGGGTTTCTCTGTGTAGCCTTGGCTGTCCTGGAACTCACTCGGTAGACCAGGCTGGCCTCGAACTCAGAAATCCACCTGCCTCTGCCTCCCAAGTGCTAGGATTAAAGGTGTGCACCACCACCGCCCGGCTCATCTCAAACTTTCAAAAACTAAAAAAAAAGTAATACATGCTGGCTGCCAGGATGGCCCCGGGGGGCGGGGGGGCGAAGGACTCGCCACCAAGTCTGACAACCTGAGTTTAATCCATGGGACCCACAACATGGAAGGAAGGAAAGAACCAACTCCAAAAAGCTGTCCTCTGGTAATCCCACACGTGTGCCTCGTACAAGAAGTAAATATAATTGTAAAGCCTTGGGACATAAATGAGTCAACAAACTATAGCTGCTCAGACTGATTTTCCTCTAATGAAAATCACAGGATGCTAAATTACACTGTGCCCTTTTGAGAGAAATACTCAATGTTTAAAACTGAGGAAAAATACTAATATGGGGCAGAATGATAGTATCAAAACCTAGGCTATAAAATGCACAGAAGAGGAAGTAAAATTAAACATTAAAATATTCATCGCTAGATGTTAAGGAAGGTGATTCTTGTGTTATATGCTCTATTTGTTGCAAGGCAAGGGGAGAATTCAGGCCTGGAGTCACAGCTCAGGGAGACCTCACACTTAGACGTGTGCGATCGCTGCGTTGAAACCCAGCACACAGAAAAAAGACAAGTAACAGTGTGTGGGGGTTCCGCTAGCTGAAAAGTTTATCCTTGTCTGCTCCGAGTGTGTCCATGAAGAGAGCGGAGGCTTCGTCTCCCATAAGGACATGCCCACCTCTCCTCCTGCTCTGCTGGGAACGGGCCACACTGACTTCAGAACTCTCCCTTTAAGGGCTTTACTTAGGTGTCGCATTGTTGAGGCTTGCGCTGATGGGAAACTTTCATAGCCACTAGAGCAGAACGATCTTCTGGGACTTTCCAGTACTTAATAAAAGGCACTACACACACTTGGTAGTAACATGCAGAGGAAAGAACTAATGGAATGGCACAGCAATTATTATAATAAACTCAAAAGGCTTAGGATGGCTCAGCACTGGCTGCTCTTGCAGAAGACCTGAGTATGGTTCCTAATACACAGTGCCTCATAGTGCCCCTGTTACTCCAGTTCCAAGGATCCACTGTCTCTTCTGGCTTCTGACGGCACCAGCCAAACGTGTGGCACAGAGACAGTCATGTAGGTAAACATGCACACACATAAAAATATTTAAATTCTATATATGCGGCCGGGCGGTGGTGGCGCACGCCTTTGATCCCAGCACTTGGGGGGCAGAGGCAGGCAGAGTTCGAGGCCAGCCTGGTCTACAGAGTGAGTTCCAGGACAGCCAGGACTACACAGAGAAACACTGTCTCAAAAAAACAACAAAAAAATTAATCTATATATGCATGCATATTTACATATAAAAAGTTAATGTATTTAGATTTAACAGGTTAGTATTTAAAACTGTTTCAATACTGTCAGACTCTTCCAACAAAACAAGCTGATTGTATTCATAAACCGTCACAACTTTTGAAGATCAGTAAGAAAACAAAATAAACGTCGTTTATAGCGTTAACTTGTTTGTGGAGAGGGGTGTGCGTGCCATAGCACAGGTGTAGAGGAGAGCTTGCTGGAGCCGGTTCTCTTTGGGACCCAGGGACGGAACTCATGTTGTAAGACTTGATCGTATCTCCTTTACCCTCCAAGCAATCTCACCTGCAACGTGTTATTTTCATTGTTGCTTTATTTCAGCAACTGCATGAGTATTCTCATTTGTAAAGAAGACCCAGAGTCTAAAGGGTCTGACTGTAAACTTTCTGATTGTGTGTGAATTCCTGGGCACAGAGTGCCTCTAGGTACCTCCACCACCAAATTCCCAAGAAAAAAATTCTGAAAATGCTTTAGGAAACACAATGTGAGGAAGAGAAATCTCAACTGAGAAGATGCCTCCCCAAGAATGACCTACAGGAATGTCTACGGGGCTTTTCTTGGGAGGGATTGATAGGGATGTGCCCAGATCATTGGGCATCCTGCCTCTGATCCTGAGTTGTCTAAGAAAGCAGGCTGAGAAAGCCAGTTAAGCCACGTTCCTCCAAGGTCTTTGCTTCCGTTTCTGCTTCCAGGTTCATGCTTTCTTCCCTGACTTCCCAGGATGCTGGTCTACAACCTGTAAGTTTTGATCTGGTGCTATCACCGCAATAGAAAGCAAACTAGGTCAAACCCGTAAGTCTGTAAAACCCTGTGCATCAAGCAACAACTGGGCTGCACAGGATGTAGTGGTGGACTCTCACGCTGTAGTCTTTGACCCCAAAACTCGTTGTATCTGCTTTTCTTTACAGTAGAGAAGTTTTTAAACCGAGCCGAGCATCCTACGAGAGATGTGCAGGAAGCAGAACCTGAGATAAGCACTCTCCAGGGATAGCAGCCCCGCCCTTTAGGACACGCCCCGGCCAGACCCCTGAGCCACGCTCCCAACGGACCCTCCCCCAGAGCTGCGCCCTCTCCAGAGCCCCCAACACAGGACAAGACCCGCCCAAAACCGAACCACGCCCCCACCGGGAGCCCAAGCCACGCTCCAAGGAGCCTGACCCTTTCAGCCTTCCAAAGCCCGGCCTCTCCTCCTTAGCAACCGACAGGACTCTTTCACCTTAGCAACCGCTACAGCTTCCACCATGGCCGAAGAGGAAGTTCCTGTGACAACCGAAAAAGTTCTGAAGATACAGCGGGTGTTCATAAACCAGCTGGACACCTATAGCAGCGGAAACATAGGAAAGGTGAGCGGTGGCCCGAGCCAAAGTGGCCCTCAACCCTCAGTGTGTGTCCCCGGTCTATCTCCACAGCAAAGGCCTGCATCACTGACTGTTAGGAGCCTCCCTAGGGGAAGATTCCAATCCTAGCACATCAGTGCCTCCTGGACCTGTCCTGGCTCATGGACCTTGACCCATGCGGCTTTTCTGGAAACCCAGGTGTTTGGCTATAGGGAAACTGAGGCACAAGAAAGGCAAGGGCTTGCGCAGATCGTATAGGT